AGTGTGAATGGCCCCTGTAGCAGCAGGAATATGACTTTGTTTACTATCCTGGTTCCTAGGAGTTACTCAAAGTCTACATTGAAAGAGGCAGCATTATCTCTGGTGAGAAAGGGCTGATCCACCCTGAGTTCTTGGATTAGGTGGTGGTGAAGCTTGACCTTATCAGCCATCAGTCCTGCCAACATTCCTTGTGAGGCTCCAAGCCTGTCTCACAATGACTGTCTTCCATTGGTGCTCTCTCTGTTTTTTTTTTTTTTTTTTTTTAAAAGACAGGATCTTGCTCTGTTGCCCAGGTTGGAGTATGGTAGTGTGATCTTGGCTCACTGCAGCCTCAACCTCCCAGGCTCAGGTGATTCTCCTACCTCAGCCTCTTGAGTAACTGAAACTCCAGACGTGTGCCACCATACCTAGCTAATGTTGGTACTTTTTGTAGAGATGGGGTTTTGCCATGTTGCCGAGGCTGGTCTCAGACTACTGGACTCGAGAGGTCTGCCTGCCTCCACCTCCCAAAGTGCTGGGATTACACATGTGAGCCACTGCACCAGGCCTTATTGGTGCTCTCGCTGTTGAAGGATTTCTCATTTGCTGTCTTGGTTAGGAACAGGACTACAGGCAATCCATTCCAATTCAAAACCTTTTGTTTTCCTTCACACAAACATGTTGGAGCAGGCAGGAGAATAAAGAATCATGGAGCATTTTTCCCATATATTAGTTGGCAAGCCGGATTTTGAAGGTTGCAGCAAAGCATATGTTTCCTGAGAAATAATCCCCTCGTCTGTCCTGGAGGGAGAATTCTTGGTTAGGATTTGGTGGCATCTTGGGTTACTTCTGTAGATCACTCCCAGGTGGCCTTACTTGATTGTTTTTGGTCTTTTGCTTATATTGCCTTAAAAAAACCCATCCTGCCCACTTTGTTGGCCTTGCATATTTCTCCGTGTGCCTCTCTGGTAGATAGTACCTGTCAACCTGGAACCTGTCAGGGCTTGTCGGCCTTTTGCCCAGAGTCATTCTTGGCTCCCTTGAGCAACTGCTGACAGTGCTGATCCGTGGAGGCCTACACCTGGTCCTAAGGAGCAGCCTGCCCCAGAGGATGTCTTTGAAGAAGGACTGCTGGTCTTTTAAAGCATGTCTTCTCTCTGGGGTGACCTTAGGTTTCCATAGCTCAGAGGAGACCTGTACATAAGAGAGACAAAGACAGACAGACACATGGGCACATACATTTCCCCTTTCAATAATCTGTCAAACTGAAATCCAGAGTTAAGTAGTGGGGTTTGCAGCATTTTGAGTGCTAAATACACAGGTCAAGTTCACCCATTGGGTGGTGGGCACTGGGGAGCTGGAGGACCGTTTCTTTTTCTGGGAAAGCTAGCCCAATTAAAGGATCTTTGGCAGCTGACCCACAGGAACCCAGATTCTAGACATGAAGCCCTCTGTGAATGATGGCATAGTGTAGTATAGATCAAGTCGCTACAAACTCAGTCTTTTAATCTATAAAATGGGCAAGGAAACGTAAGTATCATTTCACCTTCACAAAGATTTTATGAGAATAGATTAAATAAACGTGAAAGGCACCCTGCAATAGCAAGGTATAATAATTTACATTGCTGTGGTCCAGCTAGGCTATAACCTTGTTATTATATTATCTGAGGCAATGTTATATGCCTGAGCAGACTCCATATTGCTATTTAATAGCTCTGCCCACTCAACTCTTCAAGAGAGAAGAAAACTTTAGAGGTGAAAGTCTGGTCTTTATCATAAACCTCAAGATTGGAGACATGTCTTAATGGAGGAAGATATTCCGTTTATAAATGTTGTGGAAGGCTGAGCACGGGGCTCACTCCTGTAATCCCAGGACTTTGGGAGGCCGAGGTGGGTGGATCACTTGAGGTCTGGAGTTCCAGACCAGCCTGGCCAACATGGCAAAACCCCATCTCTACTAATACAAAAAATTAACTGGGTGTGGTGGCGGCACCTGTAATCCCAGCTACTTGGGAGGCTGAGGCAGGAGAATCGCTTGAACCCAGGAGGTAGAGGTTGCAGTGAGCTGAGATCACACTACTGTGCTCTGGCTTGGGTGACAGAGTGAGAACCTGTCTCCAAAAGAAAAAAGTGTTGTGTAGTGCACGCTGTTATGGGGTCTGGAGTCCTGAGCTGTTCTCGGACTCTGTAAGTGGTTCTAGTAGACTTACTGGCAGATCTGAGGAAATGAGAATTTTAATTATAAATTGAATTACATTATTAAAAGTTATACCAGTGTTCACAACCATCCTTAGTATTTGAAGATAAAATGTATTCGCTGTGTTAGTTACTTGAGTAGACTTTTCCCTTATCCCAGTCCTGGAATTTTATAATTTTATAGAGACCATAGCAAAAGTAACATGAATGAGATCCATATAATTAAAAGGTATTCTGTCATTTATGATGGTTTCAGCTGCAGCAGAGAAGAGTAATTCTCATGGGCCTGGACAATAAGGAAATTCATTGTCACATAGTGGAGTCCTCTGGAGGTGGAGTGGGATTTCCCATAGGTGGATTCAGTGGCTCAGTGGTGTCATTGGTTTGTCAGTTTCCCCCTCTAGGAGTGGATACATGCTGAGTCTCTTGGGGAGAGGTGGCTACCCAACACTTCCAGGGTTCTAGTACTTAGGAAGGAGAAATGGGGGAAGGTTGCTGCATAGATGTCCAACAGTATCCAGGACACCTCCCCTGTGTATTTCAAGTCTCTTTGCTAATTTTCCATATGAAACTGCACAGACAGAGGAAGATTGGTACAGATTTTTTTTTTTTTTTTTTTGAGAGAGAGTCTCGCTCTGTCACCAGGCTGGAGTGCAATGGCGTGATCTCGGCTCACTGCAACCTCCGCCTCCTGGGTTCAAGCAATTCTTCTGCCTCAGTCTCCTGAGTAGCTGGGATTACAGGCACCCGCCACTACACCCAGCTAATTTTTGTATTTTTAGTCGAGATGGGGTTTCACCATTTTGACCAGGATGGTCTTGATCTCTTGACCTCGTAATTCGCCCACCTCAGCCTCCCAAAGTGCTGGGATTACAGGCGTGAGCCACGGCGCCTCACTGGTACTGATGTTTAGCATTGCAGTGAACTTTGTTGAACTTGGTGGTAGGCTTACTTTCTACCCTTAATGGGAAAGATCCCAGGTGATAACTCTTGGCCTTGTGTTCCTCCCACTGCAAGTTGACAAGTTGACATATGTGTTGTAGTGTTGTAAGCCAGGATTCAGCAAGCCCTAACCTCATAGCCTCATTTGCATATTATCTCTATCCCAAGTGAAAGGCCTTTAAGCTCAGATCTGGGAAACTTAAAGTCCCAGGAGTTTAATGTGGAGATGTTTTCTATAAATTATTTCTGCCTTTTAAGGGCATTGTTGGAGATGTTGCTTTCATTACCGATCTTAAATGAAACCAAGGAGTCAGGCAAGATGGAAGATGTAGGATTTGGAAATAGGCAGTCTTGTCTAAGAAAGAATTGTTTGTAAAGTATTTTACTCCATGTCTTTGAGAGATCATGAGTCTAAGTATAAGAAAATTGGAGATAAAGTTGGCAAACATTTAGCTCTTCCAGTTGTTTATTTCCAGTAGATTCAGTTGTTTGAAATTCTGACTGAATGGGACTGAAATAGTAGATTTTCCTCAGAACTGTTATTAAAATAGGAGATCCGACTGCTCAAATGAACTTTGGATGTGGTTCTAATTGAGGTTTGAAGTAATTGTGCTGTTGAAGTTACTGGATGGTGTTGAGCCATCCTTTGCAGTACATAGTCTGCAAATGATTTTGAATTGGTTTCTCATTGTTGGCACCTAGTTATCTGAATGACAGCCAGCCTTTGATTCTCAGATCAAAGGAGTTAAAGAAAGGACTCCATCCCTGCAGGTGTGTCTTCTGAGCACGTGATGTTAATGATAATAACTGGGAGGCAGAGGGCACCAGAGTGGGGTGGTTTACAGATGCAGACAGTCCAGCATTCCACTAGCTAAGCAGAAGGGAAGCCATGCAGCAGTGGTACAGAGCCCATGGCTTCAGAAACCTAAAGAAAGGAGGCAGAAGCATCAAGAAAAAGCACCGCAGAGCGGTGGATGGGGTGGTAGAAATTAGGAATAGCCACTTGCTGCTCCAGCTGCCGTAACACTGGAAAAAGCTTGCAGCTCTCTGTGTGCACGGAAATTTGCTGAGTGTGCCTAGCGTGTAAATAGCTCTGTGGCTCTTATTCATCCCTAGGTATTGGTTACTCACAATAATGATGCCATGTCTGTAAAGAGACTTTAAATCATGTACACTGCACTGTTTAGGAAAGCATTGAGGTATGTGATGTCTTTTAGCTAAACATTCATCAAAACAAGTTATTAGAGTAAAAGCGTGAGTGCCTCACTTCAGTTTCTGGGACAAACAACTTGGGGCCCCATCTTTCCATCTTTTTCTCAAGACTGCCAGATACTGACGTATTACTAGAAATCTTTTTTATTTTACAAATTTCTAATTTTTTTTTCCTTTCTTGTGTCAAAAATTGAAGAAAATAAAAATAAAATCATTTTTAATGCAGCCACTGAGAATAACTGCAGTTAACTTTTTGGTACTATCTTTCCAGTGACGTCTGTATATGTATTTTAAAAGAAAGTAAAAGTAGGTTCATACTGCAAGTACTATTCACGTATTAAATACAGTTTCCTACGTCATAATCATACCTCTTCCCTCCCCTGCCCGCTGTGTCTCTATGGTGTTTAACTGTAGTAGTTTTATAGTAGAACTAAGCAGAGTTTTGATTGACCTACAGCCATGTATTTTATTATATGGGATCCTATAGAAAGTCCTGATTCAAATATCAAACATCAGGAAGATTTGAAGATGTTAAATGTCAGTTCTTTAGGAGCCAGTGACCTCTTATAAGTCAGAGATTTAGAGTTATTTAATGCAGTGAATCAGAAGTTCCTTATGTGTATGTATTTTGAAGGATCCATTATAAAATAAAATATTTTCTTTCTCTTTAGCATTCTCTGGATATTCAACAAATACAAAGTATGACCCACACCAAATTAAAGCAGAAATAGCAAGTCGTCGGGATAGGGTGAGTAAAACCGATGCTTTTACAACCAGGTGGATGGAAGCCTGAGGCCTCGCAGCCTAGGCTGCTGGCGTTCCCCTCTGGTTGACTCCTCCTGGAGGGATGGCTAGCAGTGTTAGACTGGAAGGGTTCTGAGGGTTCTGATGCTCCTTCCCCGGTAACCCCTGAATTATCTATGTGCTACCGTGTTTCATCTCTTCAGACCCTTGTCTTGGTTGTCTGGGAAGGGGAACACTTTTGTTGCATTTGGGACAAAGCACGAGAAACATCTTGGCAATGAAGCCTGCTCCTCTCTTGGTGTGTCATTCCCTGAATCAGGGTGTATCTTTTAGTGCAGTGGTTCTCAAATTTTAGCACAGCTAAGAAAAATACCTGGGAGCTTGTTCAAAGTGCCAGCTTCCAGGCCTAGCCCCTGAGTTTTGACGTGGACCTGGAGCGGCTCCCAGAATCTGTTTAAAGAAGTACTCCAGGAGCCATTGAGTTTCAGGTAGTCAGAGAGCAGGCTTCTGGACACAAAGTTTCATGTGCGGGAGTCTGAGAGGGGTGGGTAGAAGGAAAGATGAAGAATGTGTTACAAAAGTTGCCAGTTGTAATGTGGAAACCTTGAAAATGTTACTGGTGCCCCACTTGGGTAAGAGTCTGTCTAATCTGGGATTTTTGTATCTAAGCACAGCAGGTCTTCTAGAAAGGCTACTTCTTATGCATGTGAATGGAAGTTTATAGTGAGAAGAGATGATCTTCTGAACTGCAAGCTGAGTAGAAACTCAGATGACAGTGTTAATAACAACTGTAGAAATCATTCTTTGCAGCTGGTTTTTGGAAAAAAAATGTGATTTGTCTTTAGCTTTCCAGATTAAAACGAGAGCTGACCCAGATGAAGCAGGAACTGCAGTACAAAGAAAAGGGGGTGGAGACCCTGCAAGAGTGAGTTGCCTGGACACTTGTTCCTAAGCTTCATGACCTTCACTTTCATGCCTTTATTTATGCTCATGATTTTCCAATGCTAACTTCAGAATCTCTCTTTTCCTTGAAGATATTTCGTTGCTGTAAATGGAAATACTCGGGAAACAAGACCTTTATTTTTATGGTTATGCACGTTTGCTATAGCTGTGCAAGACACTCATGGCTAGTTACATTTAAATTAGACTTTTTCTTAGTTTTATTCTTTTAAATTTTTTGTTCTAAAATTGACATTTAAAGTAAAAGAAAATTAAAAGTTTAGTTTCCCAGTCTCAGTAGCCACATCAGAAGTACTCAGTAGTGACATGTGGCTAATGCAGGTTTTCTCCACCATTTAGCACTAGTGGGATTTGGGGCTGGATCATTCTTGTCTTGGGGGGACTATTCTATGCACTGTAGAACGTTGTCTTGGCCAGGCCTGGTGGCTCATGCCTGTAATCCCAACACTTTGGGAGGCCGAGGCGGGTGAATCACCTGAGGTCAGGAGTTCGAGACGAGCCTGGCCAACATGGTGAAACCCCATCTCTACTAAAAATACAAACGTTAGCCAGGCGTGGTGGTGCATGCCTGTAATCCCAGCTACTCGGGAGGCTGAGGCACAAGAATCACTTGGCAGGCACCTGTAATCCCAGCTACTCGGGAGGCTGAGGCAGGGAGAATCTCTTGAACCTGGAAGACCGAGCTTGCAGTGAGCCAAGATTGTGCCGTTGCACTCCAGCTTGCTCGACAGAGCGAGACTCTAAGAAAAAAAAAAAAAAGAATGTTGTCTTTACTCTTTACCCACTAGATGCCAGTAGCATCTTCCACCTGCATTGTGACAACCAAAAATGTTTCTAGGCATTGCTGAGTGTCCCCTAAAGAACACATTTAATCCCAGCTGAGAACCACCATGCTGGTGGCTACTGTATTGAACACCATAGGCAATAGATTTCCATCATCGCAGAAAGCTCCTTTGGACATTCTGGTCTGTAGGTCTTCCTCCTGTTCTCATTTTTACAATTAGAACTTTATCCCTACTAAGAGATTGGGGATGAATTGTTTACAATTAGTGAGCTGTATCAAGTCTGAAGATTTCATGAACTAAAGGTGGTGTTTGAGAAATGGCGCTGGTGTGGGTCTGAAGGTTTGCCGAGCCATTCTGTCCATTCACTGGCTTTCCTTGCTGAACTTGCACATGTGCCTCACGCCTTCTGCACCTACTTTTCTCATCTGCAAATGGTGATTGTTTTAGGCAGCTCAGGCTGCTATGACAAATACCATAGACTGGGTGGCTTGAACAGCAGATATTTGTTTCTCACAGTTCTGGAGGCTGGAGGTCCAATATTTGGTTCCTGGTGAGGGCTTGATTCCTGATTTGCAGATGACCATCTTGTCGCAATGTCCTTTATGGCTAAGAGAGCAAAAGCTCTGTTCTCTCTTCCTTTGCCTAATCCCATCATGGGGTTCCACCCTGTGACCTCATCTACCCCAAATCACCTCCCAAAGGCCCCACCTTCAAATGCCATCACATTAGAGGGTAAGGCTGTAACATAAGAATTTGGAGGACACACAAACACACAGTCCATAACAGCAATCATTGTGCTCAGTTATACTGAGGACAGCACCAGCACCTGGTACATGGCCAGCCAGAAACAATTAGCCTGACTCTGTGTGGTTACTGTTACTGACACAGGTGGGCAGCATGTTGCCTCTTTCATCCTGCGTGCAGACGCATGAAGTGGTACACGTGACTGCAGCACTGCTCTTTATGGCGAAGTAATAAAGGAATGTGAGGTATAGATGTAATTACTACCATTACCCAGCTATGTGTTTGTGTGCATTTTGGATCTACACTCAGAGCTTCCTTTTATTAGCCCTAGTTAGTATTAGTAAAGCTTCTTCTTTAGTTTTTTTTTTTTTTTTTTTTTTTTTTTTGACAGAGCCTTGCTGTGTCCCAGGCTGGAGTGCAGTGGTGCAGTCTTGGCTGATGGCAACCTCCCCCTCCCAGGTTCAAGTGATTCTCGTGCCTCAGTCTCCCCAGTAGCTGGGATTATAGGTGCCTGCCACCACACCTGGCTAATTTTTGTATTTTAGTAGAGATGGGGTTTTGCCACATTGGCCAGGCTGGTTTCCAACTCCTGACCTCAGGCGATCAGCCCACCTCGGCCTCCCAGAGTGCTGGGATTACAGGCATGAGCCACCATGCCCGGCCTCTTCTTTAGTTTTATCTTAAGCAAATCAAGTTTCTTTTCCAGCCAACCAGCTGCTGGTTTTGTCATTCATGCAGTGCATAAGCCAGAGTGCTTTCCAAATGCACTGACATGTGTTCTGTCCTTTTAGCCCCCCACTCCAGCCAGCCTCCAGATACTCCAACACCTCCTCAGATGAAACTGTGTGCGCTGTGGCAGTGTCATCCTGTGTCACTTTGGCTAAGGGAGTGGATAAGGAATAAGCAGCAACAAATCATTTGATTTGTGACAGGTCACCGAAAGTTATTAGGACTACCTAGTTGGATTTGAGGTGAATTTCCTACCTTCATTAGGTCACACTGTAGCTGTCTCTCATTGTGATACAGTGTCTGTGGGCAATAGGTTGTTTTTTGTTTGTTTGTTTTTTGAGATGGGGAGTCTTTCTCTGTCACCCAGGCTGGAGTGCAGTGATGTGATCTTGGCTTGCTGCAACCTCCGTCTCCTGGGTTCAAGCAATTCTCCTGTCTCAGCCTCCCAAGTAGCTGGGATTACAGGCACATGCTACCATGCCCAGCTAATTTTTGATTTTTAGTAGAGACTGGGTTTCACCATTTTGGTCAGGCTGGTCTCGAACACCTGACCTCAGGTGATCCACCTGCCTCGGCCTCCAAAGTGCTGGGATTACAGGCATGAGCCACCGTGCCCTGCCCAGTATGTAGTTTTAATGTTAGTCATTGTGCGTGCTGGAGGTTGCAGTCAATGTCATTCTCATTTGCAGCTGTGAGGAAGGTGACTGGGGTTCAGGAAAAGTCTGAGTTTGCTCAGGATTCCTGAGCATCAGCAGGGAGCCACGTCTGGCACTTCCCTCATGGCTGTGGTTTCTGGAGTGGGTTGCTGGGCTCAGTGCCTGTTGCTTTGCCGTGGCTCCATCATTTTGGTGAACTCCATTTCCTTATTTGAAGACAAAGGCCATATAGCAGTGTCAGCTGTAGACGGACTGATTTAGAAAATAAAACGTACTGCTGACTGAGAAAACCCCCTTCTCCTTAGCATGGCTAGGATGTGAATTCATCTCTTGTAGTTGCAGTGGTTTCAAGAATAGGAAAAGGCAGCCTCTGTTTCCCTAGGGGCATTAGACAGAGAAGCAGGAGCCAGAATAGCAAGAATTTTAACTTTACACCTGCGGCCAAAATGGAGCGCAAGTTGTGCTCCTGGAAGAGAGGCGGGCCAGTGCTGTTTGGATTTTCTTTCTGCTTTCATTATCAAGATCCCACGCTTGGGAACAGCAATTGTAAACTTGCCACTTGCCAAGGGGAGGCTCCTCCTGCCTGCCTGAGCCAAGGGGAGGGAGGCTCCTTCTGCTTGCCAGAGCTCATGAGAGTACCCGCCCTCCCCCTGGAGGCCAAGGAGTGGCCTGGGGAAGGCTCTGGACCTGGCCTTGGTCCTGAGGGGCTCACCCCACCTCATGCCTGACCAGGGGCAAGTCAGCTTTCAGGAGGGAGCTGCCCAGAGCCATTGTTTAATGGGCATGTTGCCTTGGCTCTGTCTGATGCTGCATTGTCACTGTGCATGTTTACTTTATTCTGGGACAGACAGAGCCTCACAGGAAGAAGAGAAAACACAGGCACCCATGCCACTCTTAAAATATTTTTGTAAGTGGAAGATAATCTGGTAACCTTTCTCTGAGTTCCACAGCTTATGAGATGAAAACAGCCTCATTATTTTTTCTGGTATTGGACATTGGGCTTTTATGTTTGGATCGAATCATGCAAATGTATATTTTTTAAATTGAGAAATTTTAGAAGGCCTTTTCAAGCATTGAAAATGTGATTACCCCATCTCTACTGGGAAATCCTGACTATACATACAGATAGCACGTGAGCTGTTATACTTAAACATGAAGCATCTCTGATTTTATCACCAACATTGCTTTAAGGCAGTGGCCCAAGATTTTCCTCCAGAAAATTTCCTGCTGTTCTCGCTTCCCAGAATATCCAGTGTATTCTTTTCCAGAGCACCTCACCAGGAGTTTGGCTGCTTATAACATTTTAAGCTTGCCTTGTTTATCTTGGTGAATTTCCTGGCTAGCAAGGAAATTCATCATTACACTTGGGTCCAAGTAAGGAAAAAAGAACCTTTTGTATTTTACTTTAAATCTATATATGTTGTTGATTGTTGTAGAGAGGAATTGGCCACAGATATGTTTGCTGGGTTAATGATAGAATATGTACATGGGTGTGTGTTATATATGTATCTACGTGAAGTGTATACATGTAAGCTTTTAATGATGGAAAATATCGAACATAAAAGTAGAGAGAATAGTATACTAAAACCCTCCTGTACCCCTCACCCCATTTAACCCGCACAATTGCCAGTCTTTGTTCGGTGGTGACCCCGCCGCATCTGCTAAGCTCTCACGGCCTTATTGAAGCAAATGCCAGAATCCCATTTAATCCATAAATATGTCTCCAAAAGTTATGGACTTCTTTTGAAAATAATTCTAATCCCTGTACCCCACTTACTAGGCATCTTGTGTCCAGTGAGCTCTTGCATTTCTTCAGGTGTTTGGGTCCAGTTTGGGCCACAGAGTGCCTTTGATTGATGTCTTTTCTTTTCTACTCTCCCTCCTTTTTTTTCCCCCTGACAGCTTGTTTGTTGGAGAAAGTAATTTGGTTGTCCTATAGAATTTCCCTAATGTTGGGTTTTGCTGCTGAAATTCACATGATGTCATTGAACATGTTCCTCTGTCCCTTGTTATTTATGCAAATGGGTATAATAGTTTGAGAGGCTTGATCT